TTTGATCAAATGTGAAAATGTGCGTTGTATCTTAAAAACAAACTTACATTTAACAATAAATTTACATTTAAACCAAAGTTTAATTCATTGGCTATCCGTGCTATATAAATTTAAAAAAATCCGTGCACGCATTTAAGAGGAATAAGCAGTGAAAAGGAGATACTAAAACGAACCCAACCCTGCCATACCGCTCACATTGCCTGCAAGTTCGCTGAAATAAATTGAAATTCAGCATAAAATTGCCACTGCCGTTAAATAAATTTTTTTTTGTTTTTTAGCCCACGGAAAAGCTTAGGCGGCGAACAACAAAGAGCACTAAAGGTCTTCAGGGCAYGGCAGTCATTGGATCTGCCGGGTGCACGCAATAAGCTTATGGGATTCAGCATACAACTATTGGACAATGTGGACCCTAATCCCTATAATATGATATGTGCGGGCATTATACACGCGAACAAAGTAATGGTTGATCGTCGTTCTGGTAAGACCACCGAAGAGAACCCCAAATTCATCAAATCTGATGATGCTGCCATCGAGGTAAATACAATTACCATAAGCGGGTGAGTGATTAGTTTTATTGTCATATATTATATTTTATTAGTAAATAGTAATAATAATATTAAAGACATTGTGTGTGAACAAATGAAAAAATGCTGCATCGCAGGTATATTATAAGTAATTTTGTTTGTGTATAGGAAAGTTAGGCTTCCGATGTGGATAGGGAAGTGTTGCGTTGAGTAGGGTGTGCATCCACGTCTTTCTCGTCGTAGGGTGGTAGTAAGACCAATATGGCAAGCGGTCTTGTAACTTGTCCTTTTTCCGTGATGATGTCGACTACTCGCACTCGGGTAACAGTGCCTTGATGTATATTGACATTCCTACCCAGTCTCCACTCATTCGGTGGTAAATTGTCTTCCTTTATGACGACAAGCTAACCTGCCTTTAGGTTTGTTTTTGGATGTTTCCACTTTATGCGTTTCTGCATTTCGTTCAGGTATTCGGTTTTCCACCTTTTGCAGAAGGATTGATGTAAGACCTTAAGTTTTTGGCATCTATTTACGATAGAGGCACTGTTCTCATTTATATCCGGTTCTGGTGGGGCCAACAGATGTCCACCGACCAAAAAATGTCCTGGAGTAAGTGGCTCCAAATCAGTAGGTTCGTTTGAGGCTGGACTTAATGGTCGCGAATTAAGTCAAGACTCAATTGGGCATAAGAGTGTGTTGAACTCTTCAAGAGTGTATTTGTGCCCAGACGCAATTTTGCGAAAATGACTTAAAACTTTTCACACCTGCTTTCCAAAGTCCGCCCATATGAGGAGCTGCAGCAGGTATGAAATGCCATGTAAGAGCTTGGTGACTATACCTAGATATAGCATTGTTGCGAGCATCGGCTATGAAGGCTTTAAGTTCGGACCTTAGGGATCTCTATGCTCCAACGAAGTTTGTACCATAAATATTCTTGGGGCAACCTCTTCTAGAAACGAATCTGGATGATTGTGTCGATAGATTGGTAGTGGCCTCTAGGTGGATGGCAAACAGACAAACAGATAGACATACCCTTTGGATACACGGCATCCTCTTTCACGGTAGCTTTTTATTTCGAACGGACCAGCGAAATCTACCCCCGTATTCGTAAAATCGCGTGAAAATGTGGATCGCTCGGTCGGAAGTGCACCCATAAGTTGCGTCTGAGCACGTTTTTTGAATATCGTGCACATTTTGCAGTTATGGATAATGGATCGTATCAAGTTTTTCACCCTTGGAATCCAATACTGAGCCCGCGATAGCCATAGCATAAGCTGATTTTCTCCATGCAGAGAGACTTGATGAATAAACTGGATTATTAGAGGAGACAATACGCAGATGTATGGAAGGATAATTGGAGGGCGCTCATTGTACGACAAATCGAGAAACGCACCGAGACGGCCACCAGTTCTCATAACTTCATTATTATCGAGGAATGGATTAAGAGAGAGTATTTCAAACAATCATATTCTTGACCATATTTCTGCTTCTGCGTAATTATTGTCAAAGGTCTTGTCATTGCTTTAATTTCTTCGGAAGAAATTAAGCAAGACTTTTGTTGAAAGGAAGCTTTTGTGTTTGGATGAGTTCTTTGAGAGAATCTCATAACGTGTGATAACACTCTCAAAGCTCTTGGCAAATTAGAAAAATGGTCAAGAATTTCGTTAGAATTCCCCTGTATAGTTGTACAAGCATGTACGCGTACCTGTTAATGGCCATTTAGATTGATCTTCTTGCAGACAAGAAGGTCCCTGCCACCACAAGATGTTTTCCACCAATTCCTGTGCCAGAAGTCCCCGACTGGCTAAGTCTGCAGGGTTAGACMCTGAATCGACATGATTCCAGTTTGCGTTACCGACCTTTTCTACGATTTTCGTCACTCGATGGGATGCAAACGTTGACCATGAACATGGTGGCTTGCGAATCCATGCGAGAACGATGGTCGARTCCGTCCATAGTTTGAGATTAAGATGTGTCAGCTCCAGGTTGTTGACGACAGATTCAACTGTTTCGGCCAGTAATACGGCGCCGCACAGTTCCAGACGCGGTAAAGATATAGTTTTGACAGGTGCTACTCTGGTTTTTGCCAATAGTAGGCTGGCGAAAACTTCGTTGCTTGTCTTTATACGCAGTTGCTKCGTATGCTTTTTCTGATGCATCGCAGAAACCATGAATGGACACACCGTCCGTTGGCGAGAAGTGGACCCATCGTGGAATTTTAATGTTATATATGTACCTGTGGTTGTCCATGAATGTGTGCCAACGATTCAATGTGGTAGGAGACACAACCTCGTCCCATTGTGTTCCTTCGAACCAAATGTGTTGGATTATCATTTTGGCTATTACTATATTCGGTGCTAGCTATCCTAGTGGGTCAAACAGTTTGGCAATATCTGATAGGATAGCTCTCTTTGTAAAGGAAGTATTGGTTTTGTTTTGAAGTAAAAGAACTCAGTATGTGCACCTTATCCCAAGAGCCTTGACATCACTTGTGTCTTCGAAATCTAAAAATTCTTTGTTGAGCAAAGCAAGGCCTTTTGGTAGGCCTTGTAAAATTTTCCCACAATTGGCTGTCCATTTTCTTAATGAGAAACCTGCCGACTCCAATGCTAGTCTTATTTCATTTGTAGCTTTAATTGCAGCCTCTATAGAGTGTCCACCTGCTAAGACATCATCAACATACATGCATTTCTTGAGTATGTCTGAGGCTACTGGTAGTGAGCTTTCAACGTCGTCAGCTAATKAAGTAACGTCCTTATTGCCAGATAAGGAGCGCAGTTGATTCYGAACTTTACCGTCTTCAATTCGAAAATTTTAGTTTGTTCGGTCGGATAGGTGCGAAAAACGATTCGCTGGTACTTCGTGTGATCAGCCTTTACTAGRATTTGGCGATACATCTTCTCAATATCGCTATTGAAGACATATTTGAATAATCGCCATCGCAGAATTAAGATGGCCAGATCTGYCTGAAGAACTGGACCGGGGAGAAGGATGTCATTCAGCGAAGTGCTGTTTGAAGTTGATTGCGATGCATTGAACACCACACGCACTTTTTTAGATGTGCTCTCTTCTTTCCTTACGGCATGGTGAGGCAGGTAATAGTTGTCACTAGAGTCGGCCGTTTGATTGGTATGTATCTTTACCATATGACCCATCTTAACGTATTCCTTTAAAACCCAGTTGTACTCTTTTTGCAGATTTTCATCTTTTTTCTCTTTTTCAAAACTGGGAGTAGGCAATYTTTAACGAACTACCTAACCTAATGTTGACCGGATAGTCTTTCTTAAATGGTAGCGATACAACGTATTTCCCGTCTTCATTTCGCCTCGTTGTCTTTTTGTACAGCTCTTCACAATACCTGTCCTCTTCGCTTAGTTTCCGTTCCTTGGGCAATTCTTCCAATTCCCAGAACGAAGCTAACTGCTTTTCCAGCGATATTTCGTTGTAATATGAGACGCAAGTGTTGGTTGGCTTAATTGTATTGGMACGGCCCRTGACTATCCAACCGAACGCGGTCTCTTGCGCAAGAAGCGATCCCAGTACGTTCTTGCGTAYGCCATCAAGCATAATCTGTGGATAGACGTCGCCACCGAGTATGACGTCCACGGGTTCATTGACGAAGAACCTTTTGTCCGCCAACGTGAGATCTGGGAAAGCCTGCCGAGTTAGTGCGCTAATRTGGCAAGTCGGCAAGTTTCCTGTTAATTTCGGCAGAGCCATCATGTTCGTTGTTATTGATATAAGTGGGTCAATTGGTGACCGCAATTCGACACAACATGATTCCTTTACCTGCGCACCTATGGTGTTGTTGATGCCTGACACCTGGGCATTTACCTTCCTAGCTGGCAAGTTGATTCTGCGCTTCATCCTTTCTGTGATGATAGMGCACTCTGATCCGGAGTCGATGAGTGCTCTTGCGGCATAAGTAACGCCGMTGTGATTTATGTTTATTTGTGCCGTTCCTAATAAGACACCTCTGTCGCTGTTAGCGAAGCACGACTGTACCTGAGTCGTTGGCTTRCCGTTCGATTTTTTAAAGTTGCGTCTCTGTTGCGCTTGCCTGGACGTAGACGGAATCTCGTCCGATGGCGTTGAGGAGACTCTTTGGCTGATAGGCYGCACTGTCCTCACATGTAATAGTGTGTGATGCCTCGCATGCCACGTGCTGCAGTTGAATGCACTGGTGCATTGCGACACCAAATGTCCAAAGCCGAGGCAATTAATGCAGCGATTGTTCCGCTTAGCGAGCTAGATCCTGTCCGCCGGTGGCATGTTAAGAAACATGGGGCAAGATCTTAGCTTGTGATCTGCGCTTTTACACATCAGACATGTTGATTTCTCAACGCTTACTTGGAAGGCGCCGAGTCTGTTCTGATGGCTATTATTATGGTACTTATTTTGTGTGGGTGCACTGACAGGCTTTGCGGAATTGGATGATTTCTTGGCACGTTCTATTGCCTCTAAATCACGGTATCTATCCGTAAGGAAGTTATCCAATTCCTCC